GTGAAAAGGAGTCCCGCTGCCGGCACGGCGTTCCCCACACGACCGCCGGAGAGCCAAGGCTGGGTGTTTTCGGGCTCCTTGCCTGTGCAGCAGCATTGGTAAAGTCTGTAGAGTAATTCTGGCCCTCCAAAACCTCCTGCTTTCTTTTCCTGGGCTCGGGCTAGCCCCAGGCAGTTGCCTGCAGCTGTATGCTTCAGTGTTTCACTTGGAAGAAGGAAAGCATGTGTGCAGCGTGAGCATCCAACGCTTGCAGGCAGGAAGCCCGTGAAAGCAATCGCTAACTACAGTTTCTCTTGCCAGTACAGCACCTTTAACTTCACGATTTACGCCACCGAAGTGGTAGAACAGCATCCACGATACCGTTTCTTCCATATATTCCCCAGTTCCGAGCCGCCTCCGCCAGCACATACCCAGTACCGAGCAGGACTGGGCACGAGCCCAGTTAAAGGAGACATATTCTGCCCGGACCAGGCGCGTGCTCTGGGGAGGCGTACGCCCCTCGCTCCTTAAAATCCACCCTGCCCCTTTCACCGAGTTCACAGCAGAGGCAAGTTACAGAGAAGAGCAATCCCGTTGCTCATTTGAAAACAGAGTCTGATCTGAATAGACTCATTGGCATGCTGAAGGAAACACCAGTCCTTCCCAGTGTAGTTCCACTTCTAATCAACCGCATGACAGTACAGAGCTCCAGCTAAACAAGCGCAGACTAATTAAGAGATTTTGCTGCTATAAGCATTATTTGGTGGAGGCAGGTGAGGAAAGACTGGAGAGGGTAAAGATAAAAGCACTTTAAAAGCATTTACTTTTCATTTCATACCTTTAATTAGCTGGATAACTCCAGGGACTATAATTATCAGAATTGCTACAAGCTTGCAAAAGGTAAGGAAAATCTGAATGCGGGCACTCCAGCTGACACTTGTGCTATTCAGGACCATCACCAGCGCTGCAAAGGGAAAAAGAAAAGTCAGAAAGAAATACTCGTCCCGCTGAAACCGCCGCAAAACTCTTTGCCAGCAGAGAGGCCACACACGAAATAGATCCTGATGCATCAAAGGAAATACACCCCGATAACCTTACCCAGTTGTTGCCCACCCACTTCCCACGTTGCCCTCCCAGACGCCGCAGGAAGTGCTGGAGCTGAGCCCCTCTGTTTGACCCGCTGCGCGGCTCACCCGTCTCTCCGTTCCCTGCCCTGCTCCCTCCGCACCAAATACCAGCTTCATTCACCCAGGGTTGGTAGCTGTTGGTAGAAAATGGGCCGGCAGGACCCTGCCTTGGATGAAACAAATCAGTTGCCCAACCCTTGTCACTCCAGATTTCTGTATCGGTGCCAGTTTGAGCAGAGACTTGCATTTCCAGAAAACAATGACAATTAATAATCATATTAAACTTTCTCAACCCTATTGAGGTCCCGCATAAATTTGTCACTCACTACCTTATTCAACCCTGCTCCTCTTTTCCACTCTTTCTCCTCCCTCACTGCCGTACCAGCAGAGATGCAGGAGGGCCAGGGTGCAAGTAAGGTGCCCATCCTTGTTAGGAATTGGTTAAGAAATAAAGACCTTTTACTTCTCGAAAACAAAGCCTAGGTCCACACCTCACCAACACGTAGAGAGTTAAGTGAGAAGGGATTTTAGGTGCTGCCTGCTCGGCTCGCTTCTCCTTCTGGGTCAGGGAGGGCATCTTCTGGCCTTACTACAGCACTGGCCGACAGGAGGGCAGTAGGTCTTAGAATAAGACACTGGCACTCAAATGATAACTCATTTAAACAGTTACCCTGGCAAAACAGAATCAATACAGGAGTGTAGATAAAAAAAAAAAAATTACCTAAGAAATGGAAAACGTGAGACATTTCACTAGATAAGAAGTCCCTTTCCCCCTCTGCTGCAGGGAAAGGCGAACGTTGTCAAACAAGCCTGCTCACTCCTCTTCTCTTTCTTGCCGTCGTATGGAGCCAACGAATTAGCTCCTCCTCACGGTCCTCCCCTACTTCAAACTCTCTCAAGAGCACCAGTTTGCCCATATCATCAGCCATATCACACATCTTGGGATGCATAAAAATGCAAGTTGCTGTCTCCTGCCAGAGTCTGCGAGCTAGTCTGTATGAGCTAGCGTTGTAAATCTGGCACGGTACAAGCTTTCTGGCAGCAAAACCGACTGATTTATTCCAAGTCTTTTATACAGATTCTGTTCACAGGCGAGGCCAAAAATATATCGTAAAGAATTCTTCTCAGTTTAAACCAAAAGTAGATTTGGTTTAATGGAAAAGGGACAAAATTCCAAGTAATCTGGATTCCAATGTATTTCTTAGATACTTTTAATAAAATAAGAATTCCAGGAAAAAAAAACAAAAAAACAACCCATTTCCTGGAATCTTAATTTGGGAAAGATAGGGCCCCAATCTCAAATGAACAATTTACCAAAGTCAGCATAAACTCACAACGTCACCTATTGTGAATTTTTAACCAAAAGAAGATCTTAAAGGTCAAAATATTTTTCCAGTTTTGCATTTCACCATATTTCAGAACTGAGGCATTCTTTTCTAAGTCACAAGGAAATCACTCGGACTTCTGCAAAGTATCCCTTGAGATCCAAATACTTATTTTTTTGCTTTACTACTTCCGTGTATACCTATCCTTGTCAGGAAACAGAAAACCCCAGGGGCCTGATTTATTACTCTATTGTCCCAATACTACCCTCACTTATCGTCACTTATTTAAATGTTGAAAGATCCCTTTAGGTTGCTGCTGAACATTAGCACCGATTGAGGCTCCCCCTCTTTTCCTAGGGCTTGATTACCAGCAAGGTTAACAACTGTAAGTTAAGAAAAATATATTTAAAATATTCATTTGACCAACAGTGTTTAAGTTATAAAGAAAACCCAGTGCCATAAACAAACGCTGGCTTATTTCAGATTTCCTAGAAAGTTCAGGATATCGTGCTTTTCCTTCCCGGAAGACGAAAACCAGGCAGGGACCAGGCCACAGGAAAATGCCAAGGAAGAGTTTTATGAGTAAGGAAATATCTGCGATTTGACATCCAGCTTATTCAGAGTTCAAGCTGACCGCAGCAATCCGTTACCTGACACAGGTCAGAACAGGTAACATGAGCATCCTCCCTGCAGAGAGCCCTCCTCGAGGTTGTCTAATGCATCGGGTTCACCTTCCTGATACCCGCGTGAGAACGCGCCTGGATGACAAACTACTACGAACACTAACAGCAGCTCACACGGAAACACATAACCCCCCTTGCTGCCCAGCCACGAGCCCCAAATCTCTGGAAGAGCTACACTGGCTTGAGAGAGGAAAATGCAGGCTGGTATTTTCATGAAGACAGCCTGCTCGTGAGCAAGCTGCGTTAAAACATTCCCCAGCCCCAGCTGGGGGTTCAAGCCAGCCAACTGCTTCATCGAAGGCTTTCTAATCCAACAGCAAAAGCAAAACAGACACTGCAAGGACCTTCGTTTAATCGGGAAGCTGAAGGGACGCTACACCTGCAGTCAGGGCAGTGCACGTGCCGTTAGTTTTGATGGTCCTCTAAAAGGGCAAGTCCCTTGCGGAGCTGGACGACTGCACAAACATAGTGGTTCAGGTTGCAGGGCTGAGACTTAAGTTCTTAGAAGGTTGGAGACCAATTTGGTATTTTCTGGGATTTCATTTTATTGGACCTAATAGGCTATAAGGATTTACAATCTTCTTTTAGGTAGTCTTAGCAGTTCTATGTGCATGAAAGACATATAGGGCTGTGGGGCTTATACCGCCGTCACGTATCGGCACCGTACCGGTTGTGTTAGCAACTGGATAGTGAAAGGCAACGGAGGAGTCATGAAGAAAGCTGCTGAAGAGAAGGAAAAGAACACGACAACTGCGCCAGGATTCAAGAATGAAATTATCTGTTGGGACTATAGTCATTATTCAACACCTCTCTTCTATGAATGGGGCCTGATGGAGATACTTCACAGAACTGATTGCAGATGCTTTGATACCGGATCAGAGCAAAGACCAGAAGGAAGCAGCAACTCCCCAGACAAAAGGACAGCGAAAGGAGGACTCATCTCTAACTTTGCCAACTAGAAGTCAGGCATCTAGTGCAGCTTACATCCTCAATGAAGAGACAAGACAGTTGCCTACAGAGGATGAATAGTATCTCTTTCAGATGCCTATCTCAGATGAGATGAGTTGCCTTCAGGAAGTGTCTCCTTCTCCACTAACTCTACGGGGAGCATGGACAATTGCCTTAAACTAAACACCTAACTAAAGGCGAGACGAATCCTAACCGAGGGGAGTACGGAGGGAGATCAAAATGGGGTTCATGAACAATCAAACACAATGGCAACACTGGTCATGTTGCTTTTCACAATCTCTTTCCTTCACACCGCCACAGCTATAGACGGATAACAAAATCCGGTGGGAGAAGCTGCAGTAAGCATTACATCCTGGCCTGCTTTTCAAGAGTATACGTAGCCTGGCCTCAGTGGGAAACCACGGAAACTGCGCTCCCCTAACTTGTCAGGCTTTTAGGGTCAAGGCATGCCCACGAAGGAAAAAATACCCTCGATTTGCAGGTTCTACTGCATGCGTTAAAACAAAGTCACAGGAGGCACAAAAGCACCCATCAGAGCAGCTTTTGCTCTTCCTGCAAGTCAAGAGATGTCTTAAACTGCTTGTCTGAAAACTGTCAGGGGGAAGAGAGCAACATCTGTGGCATCTGCCATGATGGGAGCGGGGGTGGAATGCAACTACCTATAGACTCACATACACACCAAATTTATGCCAATAAACCTTTGGGCTACAGTATTTGCCAGCAAGCACTGATGGATCTGTACAGCTGATCTCAGTTTTCAAGCATAATACTGCCTCTAACAAGCCATCTTTTGGGGTATTTGAGGGGGTTTTGGCAGACCTCCAGAAAAAGGGGGTAATTATATATTATCGTGGTGTAAAATGCCCAAAATACTCATGAATCAATGTAAAAACATTAAAAACACGTGTGAGTTGGTAACCTGCTTTCAGTCTCACAGTTTTTAATAGCTGAAACCTGTTTATCTGCTTTCTGATATGGAGGCCAAGTTAAAAGATTAGAACAGGCTCGGTTAAGATTGCGTATCTATTCAGGTTACATATCGATAATACGGTTCAATACCTTCGAAAAATATAACCTATCCCTTTTTGTTACAGATATATTTAAGCTTACCGTTGGGAGAAGAAGTAAAAGATACAAATACAGCAATATATGAACATGGGGTTTTTTTTGCACTATCGCCATGCCTATGGTGATAGGATGTTTCTCATTGGAAGAAGCAAGAGGGGTCTACCAGTTTTCACTGAAAGAGAGAAATTAATTTTTAACCCTTTCTCTGAAAAAGACAGTCTTCAGCATCAGAACAATAGGCGGACGGCATCCCTTCTGCTTTGTGTCCTGGGGCTATTGTGTCCAACTCAAGAAAAGTTGACATTTGAAAGGCCTTGTCTCCTGTTTGCATATCCTTCAGCTGTCCTTCCCCATGCTGGGGCACATTCAGGTTTTCTCTCCTCTACCTGACCACTTATTTTCATAAAAATTGTAATCATTAGGTATCTTTGAGATGTCTGCTTTTCTCCCAGATCCAGATAAATTGACTGAGTTTAGAAAAAGTTTACAGCAGACTGACACACAGAGGTATGCAAATCTGTATTTGCCTAGGTTTTTCTCCTCATGGAGATTGACTTTAGAAATACTAACGGAATTAAAGTGATTTCTAATTTTGAAAAAAAACAGGCAACCTTTGCTTCAGAGGTTCAGAAAGCTGGGGTATCTGAAGAGAACCTCTACACAAGCATCCTTCTCTCTACTGAGCCACTGAAATGTTTGGACCTTTTGGCTGATTGTTTTTATTTAAAAAAAAAAAAAAAATTTAAAAAAAAAGAAAGCACCATATTGTGGAACAGAAAATTTGCTTCTACAGATTGTTCCAAATTGCTCAGAACAGAGGTGATTTTGAGGGGAATTTTGTGCCCAGCACATACGTTTTTCCTGTAAATAATAAACCAAGAATGAGGGTTTTTTTCAAAGGTCACCATCTCCAGTAGTTGCGTTTGAGCTCTCATCTGATCTGCATCTTCTCTGCAGCACCATCGTTCCTTTCTCACTGCGGAGGCCCCGTGGTGGAACGGTGGGGAGCAGGATGGGCTGTAGCCCCTCTACGAGAAGTATTTGTTTGCAGCTGGTAGAGGAGCAACAGTATTTGCCGCTCCCCATCATAATCCTGGTTGCTCCATCTCGGGCAGCCTTTTAATAATAGGCTTAAATTGCAGGAAAGGAAGTTTAGGTGAGAAAAAAATATGAGAAAAGCTGCCTAGTGATAAGGACAGAGAAGGAGTGGGCTACAGTATTAGGCGAGGCTTTAGAACCTCCTGCAGTGGAGGTTTTAAGACCAGTTTAGACAAATATCTGTCAGAAATTGGTTAGACACATTGATTGTGTTTGGGGGCTGGGGAGCACCTGGCGATTTTTCAAAATCTCTTCCTGCCCTTTCTAGTAGGATCGGAAGCAACAACGTAAAACTACGGAACAAAGTCTTACCCAAGGACAGAGTTTAATGGTGCTTCCCAGTACCTTCCCCCTCGCGCAATAGTGTCAGATACGTGGCGAGCGCTCTGTCATCAGGCACAGGAGGGAGAAGGGACCAGAAGTGGATGAGAAGACAAAAGGCACCTCAGGGCACTTTCTAATTAACTTAAAATTTTTAGTGGCAGCCAAAATTACCTTTGGCACTGTAAAATTTGATTATAAGATCTTCAGGGCTCAGATGTGTCTGTTCAGCACAACACCATCTTCGCATTACCTATCACTCTGCCTACACGCACCGTACACAACACCCATCACAACTACCACAACACCTAATTCTTACCATACGGTTCGGGGATCCCCGATTGTAACATGTGTTCAAAACCTACCACAAATGAAACTCCACCGTAGAGCGCACTGCAAAGAGTAACGCCTCAGCCTGACACGTCACTGGGTCCCTCAGCATTGTCCCGTTCACCATTACAAGCTTTCGACAAGAATCCCTTCTTTCGGTGAAACGGTGCCCATCTTACCTGCGCCGTACAGACCCGCGCTCGCCGTAGGAGCGGTCTGCTGTGAACTCTCTCCCTTCAGGCTGCAATTACTTCAGCGTAACTCCACCTCCTGCCCCCTTGCAATCTTACTTCTTCGCTTAATTACTTTGCGAAGCCCCGGCTTATCACACGGATTTTCAATTAAATTAAAAGCAATTAAAACCTATTTCAAATTGTTCGCTTATTGTGCTTGAATCACATGCACTTAAAAAAATGCTTTGTTGGAGTCCTCGCTTAACATTCCTTCTGTCTCGGTGACCTTGAAGTTACTGAACATCTGTTTCACCCTTATCTTGCACCGAAATATTTTAGACAGATGTAGCTATAAAAAGTCATTGACCTCAAAATTCAAGCCCTTAATTCAATTATTCCTGTGAAACCTATAGTTTGTGCATAATTAAGTTAGAAAGAAATGCGGTCACATGCTGATTTTTTTAATACTCCTGGCAGAAGGGAACTCTTACCAAGAGAGTTCCTACAAGAAGCCACAGTAACCTGGAGACTGGAAATTTCAATGTCAATTGAACTCCCTACCCCAAAGAAAGAAAAAGTCATCTGAACCTCTTATTGTGCAACACCGAAGGGGTCTCCTATGTGCCTTTGATCATTTTGCGTGTCTTAAGTCCTTTTTCCAGCCCTTTTGTTTCTGATACGCGCACTGACCAAACTGAAAGGAACAATCTGTTAGTAATTACGCAGGTCTGCTCTGCGCTCTCCTCCCAGCACAGCTGAACGCGAACGTGGGCGCACGCATGCACGGAGCATCATCACCGGTGACCAGACAGAACTGGAAGCAAGCCTCTAGCCCTGCAGGCACACGGCTCCAGCGTCCCGTTCTGGCACCAGGCTCCAAGCCTCCCACACCAGCCCAGGTACACTGTAAAGCTCCCGGGCTCAGGGCAGCCTCCCTCCTCCCACCGGCAATTACTGGTTCTCCGTAGCCTTAAGTGGTCCCTTTTACACCGACTGTGAAGTCGGCAAGAGCAGGACAAGCTGCTGGTAACGGAGGTGCATTTTCACCACGCTGTGGGCCCTGCTCCCGAAGCCATCAGCTGGGTTCCTGCTTCCTGAACCGCAAGTGCCTCGCTAAGTTTTATTGCTATGGAGGACAGAGTGGGACTAGGGACGATGATCTCATGTTGCCTGTGCTCCGCTCAAGAGAACTACATTTCTTCATGGCATCATACTTGGCACTCGATTGCCTCCTGAAACAGAGGTAGAGCAAAGCACTTAAAATCAGGTAATCATTCTTCCATATCTCTGGCACTGGATCACCATCTCTTAGGGACTGAAATTGCTTCCACAAAAGTAATGAGAGTTCTGCCATTAATTCAAGTGGCAACGGAATCAGCCTTGGCAATAGATTTTCCCTGCCATTAATAAAGTCTGCTATTCTTTTTACTACTGCATATGTTCACAAACCCACATACCCAGGCGTAAAGTCACGCTGATGCCCTTGGCATTGGATGCAGTCATTTTGTAATGATTCACATCAAACAACTACCTGTTCGGTGTGTGATTACCTCTTTTTTTTTTTTCCCCCCCCATTTACATCATCTTTATCCTTCCCTGAAACCTAAAATTGGATACTTACTGATGCCAACAGCTGTGATAAGTTTAATCGCAAGTTCTGGGATTTCACACTGCATAAAGAAAGGTTCCAAAATGTAACGTCCAAACGCCAACGATATCACTGCTGTGGCAGCAGGGCTAGAGTGAAAACAGCAACAACGACAAAATCACAACATTAATATGCAGTACATACATAGATAATATTCTTATGGGATCATGCTGTAACTTTACTACCACAGAACCGTGAGCCATACTTAATTTTGGTGCCTGCTTGTAACTATGCCGCCAGGTACCATGATTTCTGAATGCAGCAGGAAACCACGAGCAGTTTAGCTTTGCCCAGCGGTTCCGATCTTGACAGCAACACTTCTCACCAGGATCGCCCTTACACCTTCCACGTCGTGAAGCAGCCGTAAGCGGAAAGGGAAGGTATCCATAGAAATCTTCATTCATTCGCTTGAAGCGAACATGGACAGAACTCGATTACATGGGCAAAACCCCGAGTAGAAGTTGTCGAGGGCTGAATTTTAGTGGCCAGGTATACCTCAGCCCTCAGAGACAAGCAAATTCCTTTCAATCAAGCTGAGAATTCTGCTTTACTAAGTATCCAAAACCTACCCAAGACTGTTATTAAAATCTGAGATGCTGCAAAAAATGAATGAAAATGGGATTTCCTAAAAACACAAACAACGTGTTCCTTGATCCTAGCACTGCAAGTGAGAGCAAAAGTCCTCAAAGTACCTCGCGTGAAACAGAGAAATGGGAAGAAAGGCAGGCGTGCAGTTGTTGCATTTACGAATCTGAAATACTTATAGTATTCATACAGCCTCTTTCTTTGAGAGAAGCTAAATGCTTGCCAGAAGCCTTTGCTCTGACACACATTAACAGAAAATTACCCTGTGCCTCGGATCAGACACTGTCTGCGTATTACAGTTCCAGTGGTCTCTTCACATTTGGTTTGGGAGGACACTTTCACCCTTCTTAGGGCAACTGGTGGCGTCCGTGCTTCACTGCACCCTCACACACAGTAAGGACAAAAGGGCATATGATTCTGCCTCAGAGGATTTTTTTTGAGTTAAACAAGAGTCCCTGCAAATTTCTTGGGAAAAAAATCTACAGAATTTAACAAAATAATGCCTTACCTTACGGAATCTTAATAAAAATCTGTAAGTAATATATATTCTTTACACTATTTATAAATATACGTAATGAAAATATATAAATTAAAAAAAGCTAAAAAGGCTACGGAACATTATACAAACTTCTGCAGAGAAGTTATTCCCCTCCACCGAATGATACAGGAATTTTCCACCAGAGAGTTTCACCCTTGAAACAAAACCCACTTTCTCAGCGTTATGACTCAACCAAAATGTCACACGTCGCGTTGGACCAAACTGCAGAGCAGCGAAGGACAGAAGTATCTTCCTCGGGAAGTTTCGGCGTGGACAAGCGAGGGCCGCTGCTTGTCTGTCCCCCCGGCACGAGGACTGTTCCTTTCGCTGGCCAGCAGTTGGCTTTGCCACTTTTGCCTTCGCGCAAGGACCGAACGTCCTCTGCGCTGGATTTCCACAGACATTTACTGACTTGCCCTCGGTGCACTATTTCTAATTTACATAAGAAGATCACCAGGCTTCCGTTTTTTAAACACTGAAGCCTGCCAAAAGCGGTTTGAAGCGTCCTAGATCAGATGAAAGATCAGATCTTTGGCGCTTTCCCAGACTTTTTTCCTCAGTCCTGGCTCCTTTTTCTAAGTTTTGGATTTTTCCCCTCTCATTTTAAGAAAGGCCTTTTTAAAGAGGCAGTCACCGCTACCCACACCATACTTTTGTTTTAAAACACAGCTCCTAAGTTATAGCTCCTACAAACAGCTGTCTCTCTCCTGTTCCCACGTTTGGGGGAGATGCTGCTGGCAGTGTCGTCAGTCAACGGAGGCGGGAGGTGAAGGAATGGGGAACTGACGGCAGTCAATTCCTTTTGACTGCAATCCTAGAGGCAGACTGGCTGCCCCCCAACCTGGGGGGTGTGCCCAGGGGGGGACAGGGGACAGAAAGCGCGTTAGCGGCTTCCAGTGAAGGGTGAGGAGCACGAAAGGCCACCCGGAAAGGAGCAGGTGCCCCAGCACACCCCACACGTGAGTCACTCGCTTGGCAGCGTACTCTCACCCCACCTGCGTTTAGCAACCACCATAGTTAAGCACCACAGACAATGCATTCTCACAGTCCTCTTCACTTGTTTGAAAACTAGCTTTTGGTTTTGTTTTTTTTTTAATTTTTTTTATGTAACCTGACTTTTGGGGAGAAAATAAAGCTCCTACTTATACGGGATGAGGAACGGCGCGGCGTGAGGTACGTCTAAACAGCAGGTGATGCTGGCGTGGTTTAATCAGTATGTGGGTAGAGTTTAAGTGTGTCCTAGACTGTAAAATAGCGGCTGAAAAGATATACGAGAGCAGGAAATGTTTGTTTTGGTTGCGGCTGCTCCGCCAGCCCTTGGGTGTGATAATCCTGCAATTTTTCAGAGGAAAAAATGGCTTAGCTGAGAAGCGTGCGTGCAACTTTGTCTACTGAAAAAAGAACACGAGATACATACAACTTCTTTGATAGCAGCAGCCAATTAGTTTACTGACGCAGGAGTCGGATATAAAACTCTACACGGAGTTTCGGCAGCGCTGCTCTGATCATCGCAAGTTATAACAAGTATGCCTCCCTTGCTGCCTCTCAGATTTGATGATTAAAGAACCCACTGACGTTCCTTCCCATGCAAGATGATTATTTTTTGGGTGTGGGGCAGATCACGATGACTAAGAGTGTTTTCATGACACTTCTGGGACGCTGTCACATGTAAAAAAAAATAATTTTGTGAGGAGAGGAATTTACGAAGCCTGGTTTCTTGTGGGTAGTTGCGCCTAGCTTAATAAGGCCCCCCTGCCTAGTAAGGTGCAGTCTAAGAGGGGATTTCTAACACTACTCTCTTTTGTTGATGCTGTGATGTGCAATAATAAAGCTACACTTACAGCACGGTGTTTCTCACAGCGAAAGCCCAAGTCTGTTTCCTCTGTCTGCCTTGCCTTTTTGGCAAAAAGTTAATACGGTTAAGACATCTGCTCTTTCATCACATTTGATGGAAACTATGCAGTTAATTCAAAGGTTACGTATGGGTGTGGAGGGTGTAAGGGACCATCTGACAGACACAATGATTTCCTCCGGAAACAAGATAAGGATTTACGGATTCATAATGACACAGCACTGTCAGTGCTTTTAAACTTAACAGTCTGTGCTAGAACTTGTCAATATTAGGTAAACATGGTTGTGATCTGAAAGGAGGCTTGTGTTTTTGTGACTAATTTGTTGATTGCGGAAGAGAGGGGAAAGGAGTGTTAACTAGCCTGAGGCAGGAAGTGAGTTGCCCTCTTCTACGTGTAACAAGCTCTCCAGCCTCAGCAATATTGTAAAACAACAACAACAACTTCAGAGGGCCACATTTGAGTTTAATACAAAGATCCATTTACAGCATGAAAATGTATTGGATACGATTCGGCATCTTCATATTGTAATTCACCTATACAGTGTCAAGGGCTGCCCAAGTCACACAGGCTTACATGCCAACACAATACTTTGGACATTTTAAATATGTAAGGACTTAATGTTGCTTTATTTGGCCAGTTAGTACTTTTCATAGTGATCAAGAGTTAAGCTCTTCCAACACCCCAGAAAAACAAAAAATGGGGACCTGAACTGACATATAAAGAATACATGGTGTCCCCAAATCTCAAAACTACCGGGCAATGGCTTCACCGAGAGTTATTCCCATAACACAGGCAACAGCAACTGCTCCAAAAGCTAGTACCAAGACTGAGAAAAACGTAAAGGTGACTTCCCTCTTCCACTATACTATATACAAGCATGGCTATTAGCATTATTAGTGACATTAATGGATACGGTAAGCTTACCAACTTTAAAGCAAGTAGCAGAATTTGTGTAGCAGGCAGTTTTCTCAGAAGGAGTTCCTCCCCGCCCCCCACTAGTTCCCCCCCCCCCCCCATATATGCACATATGTTGGCTTGAATGTTTCAACGATTACGAGCAAAATAACATTGTTAAATTATCTGAAGCGACCATACTGAAAGAACACGGCTCATTGATCAAGACATATTTGATTTGTTTTGCCAATCACGTATTGGAGACTTCTTTATGACTAAAAAGTGTATTGCCATCAGAAAAGACACACAGAAAAGCCACAACGCACTTACCGAATGATGAGTAGTTCGACCCAGACTCTCACAAAAGCAGGTAATGGGCCAAAAGCTTCCAGGATATAGGTGTAGTGACCACCGGATTTCTTAATGCATGTTCCTAGTTCAGCATAGCAGAGGGCACCTATAAGAATCAAACTGTGGCATCACGAGATATCCAAAAATACCTTTCAAAACATTTATATGCTCCACAATGGAGCTGCTGTGGTATCACAACTACTTTTGATATATTTTAATCATTTTTTCAAGCAATTTTCTACATTTTGATTCATTCAGCTAGACCTGGGGTTAACCAAACTGTACATATACCCGGCTACATTTACGTGTAAGCCACCGAACAAACTATTTGCGGTCAAGACGCTTCATTACTCATCCTTATCTCGCGAAGAGGGACAACAAAACGCTGTGTCACACCAGCTGCCCCGGCTCCCCAGCCAGCCTGACTGCACGGCCAAGCGAAAGCCTTCTGACACATTTGCTTGTTATCAAATGGCGATCACCCCTTTTCAGCCTGAGAGGTGCCTGCCTCGGCCTCTGAGGGAAAGCTTGAAAAGAGTATTCCCCCTCCTCAGCCACGGGCGAAGCAGCCGACCAGCCAAAATGCGGAAGCGGGAATCGCAGATTAAGAGTTTTCCTCAACAGTACTCCCAACATCTTACATACAAAATTCGGGGGACGGTTTAGCCCCGGCTTTTCAACACTGGCACAGCGTTGTTGGGTACTACTAATGCAATGGAAGCTCAGTTCGTTTCTGCGTTGCCTTAAATACAACTTCACGTGTTCCCAGCAGGAGGCTCATTTCATCCTTCGGTGCATTTATACATTGACTAAAGCAAACCCCAAATCGTCATCCCGTTGCTGCATGAGGGGGGCCAGGCTCGCGCAGAAGCGGTCCAGGCCCCTTCGGAGCGAGCGCTAGCGGCAATTCCCAGCAAGCAGCAGCTCTACGGAGCGGGCAGCGGCGGGCCGCGTCGATGAGGACCGGCACGCAGCCTTCCTCGCCCGTGCACCATCTGCCGCGGCTGTGTGACCAGCCGTCACCCCGTCGCAAAGCCCGGGGGTTCTCAGCTCCACGGGGGGGACCGCATCCGTAGAGGCCGACCACGTCCAATGAACGTCGGCAGCCCTTTTAGGAGGGTCTGAGAAGCCAGAGGAAAACGGCAACGAAGCCCGTAAACGCCGCACCGCATACAGTTAAGATCAGTGACATATGTGAACCCCTTTGGGCTCCGTTCCCCGCGCGCTTTTATGTTGCGGCGCGTTAAGATGAAAACTACAGTTGTCAAAACCGCGTAACGTGTACGAGCCCATTAAAGCTGTACCACGTTATGATAAATTCCATCCTCGTCCATTTGCTTTGTTTGCGGCTTTGCGCAAACGCGGCAGCTTTTATCTGCAATTCTTCAGCCTACCTGAAAAGGTACTTAAAGGAATTTTTATAGCCACGTTAAAAAAAAAAAAAAAAAAAGGCTTTTGATGGGTTTTCTCTTGCCAGCCCGTTGAGATTCAGGATGAAATGAAGTTGTATTTCCATACATGTTGTACACACGGCCTCAGCAAGACCTTAAGTAGTCTTTGCATGTGATTTTACATTAAAGTCATGCAGGGAATTAGAAATACCCATGGCATTAAAAAATATGAAAACAATAACTAACAGCTCCATTCAGAGAAAGAGATAGTATCTTTTGCTGAGCCAAAAGACACAGTTCTTCACATCTTGAGATCTGGAAAGCCACCTAGAAAATCTGTCTGATAAAAGAGGGGTTTTGGTTTTTTTTTTTTTCTGTACTGACTTGACTTCACAGCCTGAAAATTACTACCATTAAAGTTAAAGCCAAAAATGCAATGCTTAAGCAAATCCGTTTTTGACTATATCTAAATACCAAGGTCTTCTGACAGGGCTAAAAATTGTATTTGAGGTCTGTATAGGGGAGTTTTGGTTACAGGCAGGACGTCCACCTTTGTACGACAGATTATGCCGCACCGATACCTTTAACATTTGGCCAAAACAGGCCCTAACTTGCCTGCACGGGCCGCTCGGCTTGGGTGGGCTTCGCCGTAAGCAGCCCGTGGTTCTTTTAAGCTCGGAGCCAATTTACGCGGGGTGGCAGCCGCGTGTTCCACCTACTGAGCAGACACGTGTTAGCCCATGTTTGTCCTCTTTACCTCCTGCCAGAAAACAAGTCGTTTCTGTTTTAAATACAGCCAACGCTCATGTTAGTTCTCCGGCTTCTTTGAGATTAACTCGTTAAGTAGGTCAATGGTCCCTCCGTCCCGCAGAGGCCAGGGTGGGGTTTTCCACTCTGAATGGGGGCTTTGTGTGCAGAACACACACGCCGGCACTCCTCAGGATTCAGTCCTCTTCAAAAAATACACAAAATTAGCAAAAACTGTCACGACAGGCAGGCTAGGAATAAAACTCTCGTTACGGTTTTGTTTCCGTCTCGCTGTTCCTCGCGGCGCGATCTTTCAAAGCGGCGGCGGGAGCGGGGAATAAAGCGAGGAGCGGCAGTACAAGGCTGGGGAGAGAGGTTATTAGCGTTATTAATTTTGCTCCCCTTCGTGCCGACACAGCTCACATCCAGTGGGAGTTACTCCTCTCACAACTTGCTCTAGCCCCGAGGGAACTAAGTCGAGCTGTCTAAACATTTCACCGGCGTTCGAGCGGAGTGACCCGCGTCCCCGGCTGCCGGGAGCCTTGCGAGCAGACCGTAAACTACCTCTCACAGCCAGAAGAAAAACCATTATGCGTGCAGCACGTCGCATGGCATACAATGGACATTGACTTCTCCCGTTCCTTTAGGGAACCGTAAGAAACAGTAATTTACACTTCCGATCTTTACCCCCCGGGCGCCGGGGCGGGGGGCGAGGGGTCGCGTACCTCTGCGCCCTCCACGCAACCTATCACGCAGCACAGACCTTCTGAAGCCCTATTGGTCCTCAAGCTCCACGCTGTGCCTTGCTATCCAATGGCAAAATCGGACAAATAAGAGTAATAATCCACCAGCCGCCCCTCTGGACCAATTAGGAACTTTGAAGGGACTTACCGAAGAGCGAGAGGATACCACACGCTGTCCAGACGGTCAAGGACATGCCCACGCTGCCCGTGTTCTTCAGGATGCCTTTGGGAGAGATGAAGATGCCCGCTCCAATGATAGTGCCGATTATGATGGATATCCCCCTCAAAAGTGTCACTTTCTTCTTCAGCACAACTTTCCCCTCCGGGGCTGGCTGTCCGCCGTCCACAGAGGGCAACCTGCCATTCGCTTGCCCCTGCGAGTAGCTGCTGTTAGAGACGGCGGTCACAGCAGCTTTCCTGACCATGCTGCACCAGCACACCCACGGCGAGCGCAGGCAAAAAAAAAAAAAAAAAAAAAAAAAAAAAAAAAAAAAAAAAAAAAAAAAAAAAAAAAAAAAAAAAAAAAAAAAAAAAAAAAAAAAAAAAAAAAAAAAAAAAAAAAAAAAAAAAAAAAAAAAGCTCCCAAAGCGTGTGGGAGCCTTTACTGCGCCCTGAGCGCTGCCCAGGAGCACCTGCGCTTCCACGCCGCGAGCGGGTACTGCCCTATCCTTGGAAACCCGCTCAGCTTCCGCGTGGACTTGTATTTAAGCTCTTGTCATACCAAGTTACTCCAGCTGAATGATGATGCAAATTCTCCAGGTTTGCATCAGCCATTTGAGAAACCTCTGG